CTCATCTGGAGAGGGGCTTTGGACAAGGGCCTGGAGGGGCAGGACAAGGGAAATGACTTTAACCTGCCAGAGGGGAGATTGACATGAGCGCTGAGGCAGAAGCTCTTCCCTGTGAGGGTGCTGAGGCGCTGGCACAGGGTGCCCAGAGAAGCTGTGGCTGCCCCATCCCTGGCAGTGCTCAAGGCCAGGCTGGACACAGGGGCTTGGAGCAACCTGCTCTAGTGGAAGGTGTCCCTGCCCATGGCAGGGGTTGGGACTGGAGGAGCTTTGAGGTCCCTTCCACCCCAAACCATCATTCTGTGATCTGTTTGTTCCACTGCAGTGGGTAATTACTTTAGCAGAATAAATAGCAGCTTCTTAAATAATTCCAGGAGGAGCAAGAGGGAAAATTGAAGTGCTCTGAAAGGAGGAAAAGAGTTATAAAGTGTTCTGCCAACTGGCAGAGACACAGCTTTTAGGAAGGGCCAATCTGATCAGCACTGGCACAGCCCCGTTCAATTGCCCTTCTAGCATTTCCTTAAGTGTTATTTAAAGCAGTTGCAATTCCTCCTTGGTAGAGCTTCAGCCTGATTTCTGAGCACCATAAGCCATTGCTGCTGCTGGAATATAAAGGCACTTCTCTGAGACCAGAGGCTTGGAGGGTGCAAAATAGGATGTGATGCTCCGAGGGGCTCGTGGTGACGAACGCAGAGATCGATCCAAGCAGAGCAGGGCTGCTGGATGCATCCCAGCAAGTTAATGGAGCTGTACTTTTGGATGAGACACAACTGCTTAAATCCCTTCACTGCAACTTCTGGAGTGCTCTGAGATTCATTTTAGCCCTTGGTCAAGCTGCAGCCCAGCTTGGTGCAAGCAGAGAGTGAGCGCCTGGAGAGCCAGGATGGGTGAGAAAGCACCTCCTGCATCCCCACTGAGGGCAAACAGGACAGAAACACTGCTCTGCTCTAGGGAAAACACTGCCATGGGATGGTCTCCCATGGATCTGCTGAATAGTTGGTAATAGGAGCTGGCTGGGATGCTTTAGCTCTCTTACCTGGCTTGCTTTTCCCTTTTCCAGCATTGGAGCAGGGTTCTAGGACAGGGTTTTGCTGCTTTGCAGTCAGGGGTGGTTATTCCCAGTTTGTTGTTCCTGAGCTATAAGAGCAAAATCCAGATCCGTGACAGGTCAGGCTTGGAGGGTTGTTTTGGCGGCGTCTTGTCTTTTGGGAGTTGTGTTTATTGCTTTCTACAGCCTTGCTTTCCTTCAGCAAATAGCAGAGGGTGGGTGTGAAAGCCTGGAGGATGGTTTGTTCTTACACTCAAACACACGGAAAGCAGTGCTCTAGACGAGTGGATGTGTTGGAATACTTGTAATATTAACAAGTGGTCTGGTAAGGCCAGACAAAACGTGGTGCAGCTTCTCCTTCCCCAGATGGATGGAGCAGCCTGAAGAGAGGTACTTGGGGGTGCTGGGTGATGATTAGAAGCTCCCCATGACCCAGCTTCAGTGTGAGCTTGAGCCCAGAACCCACCCCCCCCCGTGTGCTGGGTGCACCC